TAAGCTGATTAACATATGTAATTGGTGTGGGGAAAACTTTCATTCCTAGGCAAGTATATAGGTGTAGCTGTAGGCAGACCCTCTGAGACCCCAGATAAGGCACAGGCTGTTTCACACTGCGAGGCTCTCTTACTGGGTGGGGAAAGAAGTAAAAAAAATACTGTACTTTAATGTAAAGAATATCATACAAAACTATACTCCTAGAATGCATGGCTGTATAGGAAAGAACATTGCTATAGAAAGTGTGAAAGCCCTCCGAGAGATTAGTAGAAGGAGGTGGGTGGCTGACTGGACGTATCACACATATCTGGCAATATGGACCTCTTTAATAGCTTTATGGACAGCCCAGTTGCAGGTTGCCTGAGACTATGTTTGGAGGTGCTGGTGGCAGTTGTACATTCCCTTAAATGGGGAAGGAGACTACCCTAAGGCTATCTTCTAGTTCCTTGATCCGGTGCTTCTGATTTCATTTCATATTCTTCTCCTGTTGTTTTCATCTGCTTAGGGGTAGAGAGTAGTGCCATGGCCTCCTAGCATCATCAATCATCAACAGCAAGGAGGAAGTGCCAGCCTCCATGGCTACTTACTGTGTGCTGACTAAGAGATGAAGAAGCAGTTTGCCTCCTCATACAATCCAAAAGGACTGTTCACCCAAGCCAACAGAAGCACTGCAAAGAAACTAAAATGAATTTCTACCCACTATTCACTGTATGAAGTGAGTGGGCTGGTTATCATTCTCCAGGGGCGGTATTCCGGAGTGGCCTGTTAAAGTTGGAAAATAAGAAATCATAAGAAAAAAGAGGACCTTCAGACAAAAAAAAGTTCAGTGGGACTACATGGCAAATACTGTATTTCTTTATTTATATAAGCAAAAATATATCTATAACAAAACAATAGATCTACAAATCAAGATGGCAGCAACAGACAAAATAAAATGAAATAACCGACAGTCATAAAGGGAGGATATCCTGAAATGCCTCCCTGGAAAACTCAGTGCTTCTTGAATATCAGGAGGGTGGAGCATTCCATAAAAAGGTGGCCACCACAGAGAAGGCCCAGCACCTAGTCATGGACTTCCTGCCCCCCCCTCAAGGTGGCCACCTGCAGCATCAACATCTAGGGAGTACAAGCAGGATGGGAAGTAGATATTAGGGAGAGGAAGTGCCAAAGTCCTGCTCTTATGTCTGAGGAAGTGGAATTATAATACTGATACACCTCATACTTGAGGAAGACTCTTGGCCTGACACAATCTGCCATGTAGAAAAGGTGATAGAAAGAATTGCTTGGTAATCAGTATCCCATTCCATGAAATTTCAGGGCCAGGAAGTGGGTCCTTGTGATGTTCTGAGGTAGATCCTTTTGAGGGCACAAAAACAAAGCTGGCAAAGGCTGGGTGCCAAGGTGGAATTGTTCCAGGGCCAGCTGATTGAGAAAAATCAGCGTGAAGGGAACGTGGGCAAATGAGCCCAGCATTTGGATAAAACCTGGCTGGTGATGTATTCTGGCAACCGCAAGCCAGAGAGGGGGTATGTTTAACAGGCCAAGAAAGTGACAAAATGTAGTTAGCGGCCACAGCAATTTCTGTCATTCTTCCTGGGCTGCACAAACAATTTCACACAAGAAAACAGAACTTTCACTGCATCCAGAGCATCTTCTTCTGAGATTTGTTTCCCTGCCTGCAGACCCTGAGCAGTTCCCTGAGGCTTTGATCAGTGCCCTAAGACCTGGAAACCTTACTCTCTCTCTCTCTCTCTCTCTCTCTCTCTCTCTCTCTCTCTCTCTCTGTGTGTGTGTGTGTTCTTTGTCTTTCCTCCAGGGGGGAGGGATCCAAGCTGATCTCATGCTTGAGGAAAAAGGAAAAATCTGCTCCCCCATAGATCTTGCGCTAGTGGTGAGGGGCGACACCATATGCTACAAGGGATGTGGTGTCCAGGAACAGATGCTAAAAGAGGATAGAAGACAAGGCTGCAGCAGCATCCTCTTAGCACCCCTAAGGGAAGGAAGAAAGCAGCCTCGCCTACCCATCCCCAAAATGTAAGAGAAAGATGCAGGGGTAGCCATGACTGCCAATTTGTCTCATCTCCCAGATGCCTGTAACAGTGATGGTGATGGCCCAGCTGCTGTCAAAGTGAGGACAGGGCAGGAATGGCAGTGTCCATGCTCAAGGAAGAGAAGGCCAAGCATGGAGGTTGACAGGAAGTGACTCAAAGGAGAAAGATGACCAAGGAAGGAAGAGGAGAATGAAGCAAGTCAGTTTTATTAACTGGAGGCTCTGGAGAGCTACACAGAACAGCAGCACCTTTTTAAAGCAGTAGAGGGACTATCGCTCCCACCCACCACTGGCACCAGGGCCACCTGGCTCAGTTAAGCTAATGGCAGGGCCGGCCCCATTCCTCCACATTGACATTTTCGTGCCATAACTCCTGCCACTCATTTCCCCCGTTGGATTTCTGCCCTATAATTACCTCATGAACATGTGAAAGGACATGTGGGTGGTGTGGTAGAGAGAGAGATACAGCCCAGGGGCGAAAAGAGAAGCGTGAAGCGCCTCTCCACTTTAAATCTCCCTCTCTAAGGTCGTTTCATTCTGGAAAGCAGGCATCGGCTTTATTTGGCTCTCTCACTCTCTGTTCATATATATACAGTGTTATGCTTGTGGGTAATATATTGCTCAGCTCTCAGTGGGACATCCAGAGGATGGTGCTTTTGATGTCACATTTCAAAGCAGTCCAATAATTTTCAAGAGAGGCAAAGCAACAAAAGCTGAACAGTGTTTGCAATCGGAGACATTTTGTACTGGGTTGGGGTGAAGTACCAGAAAACATGCAAGTAGGAACAACTGTTTTGGCAGGGAGTGGCCTCCTTAACCTCCGATGGCTATTTCTGTATCGGGGAGTGGCAGGTCGGTTCGCCTTTTGTACAAATTGGAAAGAGTGAAAAAGAGCATGCCGTTCTTGAGCCAAATTTAGCTGAACGGAGATTTGTCAACAATGTTTTAATGCTCTTTTGATTTTTAAGAAAAGAAAAGAAAAAATGCCTTGTTTTGGTGCTTGTGTGAGGGCAGAACATTCTCCTGGAATATTAAATTTGCTGGCTTTTAAAATTTGACATCCTGGATTTTTTTTTTGGCTACATTTTTGGCACTGTAAATATTTGCTGGGGGTGGGGAGCAGCGGGTGTTTTTATGGAATGAAGGGAATATTAGAACTGATAGGGAATGGAAACAGCCGTGTTCCCACCAGACCTTCTCTTTCCTTTCTGGAGTTTGTTGACACGGAATATTTGAAAGATTCACATGTTCTTCTGTTTGCTAGGAAAGGTACATTATTTATATCCCAGCAAATTTGTGGTTTGTAGCATTCACTCTTGAAAACACACAGAGAGGCCTTCTCAGGAAGAGCAGTTCATAATAGCTCTGGGGCATTCTGCCCAGTTTTTGTTGTTGTTGATTATTTTTAAAAAGATTTCTAGATGGAAACTAAACATGTTTTGCCCTGTGGATGTGGCTATATTAAAACACGTAGCAATGTACTAATGTACTTGACAGCCTAGGCCAATGATTCCCAACTTTGGGTCCTCAGATGTTCTTGGACTACAAATCCCAGAAATCCTGGTCAGCAGAGCTAGTGGTGAAGGCTTCTGGGAGTTATAATCCAAGAACATCTGGGGACCCATGGTTGGGAAGCATTGCCCTAGAGGATGGGGTGCCTAGTCCCCAAGTTAGCCCAGAAATCCAAAGGAAATCTAGAGATCTTCTGGGAAGGAGAGAATCTGAAAATCCTGGCCTTCACAGCTAAGGGTAAAGGGTTCTGGGAATTTAAATCCAAGAACATCTGGGGCCCCAAGATGGTGAACCAATGGCCTAGGCCAATTACAATGCAGATATATTTATTTATGCACTATTTGGAGTGGTGGAAGTGGTACAAAACCAGATGAAGTATAAACCAAGCATTGTTGATAAATAATTCTCTTTAGGATTGATTTAAATCTCGACTCTCGGCCATGTTGATTGTTGGCCAGTCACTCTCTCATGCCAGCTTACCTCACAGGGGTGTTAAAAAAAGGGGTGTGCATTCTGGTCCCCTTGCCCACACTCATATGGGGAGATCGGATGGCATTGCACTCATCTGCAAGTGAGCCAAGATGCTCAAATCACGCAGGTGTCTCTAGATTGGCTCACTGGTGAGACCAAAGGCATTAGGAGCCAGCTTCACCTTTCAAATTAGGGATGTGGAATTCTGTCTTCTTCTGATCGTGTTTCGCCACATCCTTGTAGCATTCTTTTTCTTTTCTGCTTCCTTACTGGGTCACACAAGAAGATCCTACCCACCATGTAGTCCACCCAGCACTGAGATTTGTTGCTACTTTTTGTGAAGAATTTCCTTCCAAAACGGGGTTGGTTTTTTTTTTGTTCCATTAGCTTGTCCTTTTCCGGTTGCTGGATGTATGCGTGCTTAGGTAAAAGGCACTAATCCTGCACCACTGATTTCGCATCAGAGTTGAGTGCTCAGTGTGAGCTGGAGAATTCTTATTAGGTTGTCTCACCATGAAGATATCCTATCCCAAGAAGAAACCAGAAATTGATCAGATCTATTTACATCTCTGGTTTTTAACCCTTAAAAAGATCAATCACAGTACCCAAAGCGGCTAAGGGAAAAGTGAACACTTTCCCTCATGTTACTGTAGGACAGTGAAGCGGCTGCTTGCCATCCCAGTAGCTCTCCCTGTCTCATACAAAAGAAACAAGTCTGAAGTTTGCTTTTGGATATTTTTGAGCTATAACGTTCTGTTTGTGTCAACGAAGCCAGTGTTAAGGGTGGTAAGTGGGAGGAGTTGGAGGGTGTGCGGCTTTGCATTTCAACACCACATTGTCGGCAAAGCTGAAGTGTTTTGAAAGTACAAGTTGCTCTCTGGTATGTGTAAGTTTCATTCTTGAGAACATTGCTGTGTTCTCTCTGCCTCCTCAGGAATCAAAACAAAACTCTTGGCGTGCTTGCAATGACTGTCTTTTTCCTTCCTCCTGGTGTGGCCTGATGTAATTTTGGCACACGGCTAGCCATTGTTTCACTGAAGCTCCCTGAAATGTTTCTTGCTCACTAGCAGCATCCAGGTCGAAGAATCGGATGGGAATTGCTAAGAGCAGTGACTCCCACTTTCCTTTCAGCTAAACACCGGCCGCTAGGAAATATCCACAGGATGCATCCTTAATCCTTCTCCTTCCTGTTACCACCTTAGTCCCCCACCCCAGTTTCTTGTTTTTCTCTCTTTTCACTAGTTCTGGATTACAACAGAGTTTACAAAATATCATTTCCTCCATATCCCTTGCCTCTTATAAACTGTACAGCTGCTGGCACCAGTATGCGAACATTCCAGACCTCAGAGAACAAAGACAGTTTGTTTCCTTCAGGACTGAGGTAAATGTACAACCATGGAAAGTTTCCATTATTTTCCAGTTTTATACTCGCTCGAGAGGGAGCATATTATTGCAATAATGTTACTGCGCTATTGTTTGTAGAGAAATATTGTATTTTGTTGATTGGTAGGTATGCCAGCCACAGCAGTTCACCACAGCTCTGTGTTACTTGAGAATATTTTTGCCGCATGAGGATGTGTGTAAGAGAGATATGTTCAAATTGTATTGATTTTGGAACAAGGATCTATTATTTTCCTCATCACAAAAAGGGGATGATCGTTGTAGCCAAAGTTCAAGAAAAAAAAAACTCCCTTTCATGAAAATGTAGAGGGAGTTGTGAAAAGGAGTGGGAATATTTCACTTTGCCACACTGGGAGTAAGAACAGTGAGTGGTGCCCTCACTCTGAATCAAATTTATTTATTTATTAGATTTTTACCCCGCCCCTCATCACAGAAAATATAATTATAACAGTCACTTATAACAATTAATTCCAAACGACACAAGATGGCATGACTTGACAAAAAAAAATCACTTAATTGACTGGAGGGAAGGCCTGCTTGAACAGCCAAGTTTCTGACTGGCTTTTGAAGACACCCAGCGAGGGTGCCAGCCGAATTTCGGTAGGGAGAGTGTTCCACAACCGAGGGGCCACCGCTGAGAAGGCCCGGTTTCTTGTTTTTTCCTCCCAGGCCTCTCTCGGCGTCAGGCCCCTCAGCCGTCCCTGTTGGCTGTATCAGGTGATTCGGGTAGATCTAGGTGGAAGAAGATGATCTGCCAAAATCATAGAATCATGGAATAACTGAATTGGAATGGGCCTATAAGGCCATTGAATCCAACCCCTGCTCAAGGCAGGAATCTAAATCAAATCAGATCTAACAGATGGTTGTCAAATTTTTTCTTGAGTGCCTCCAGTGCTGTAGCGCTCACTATATGCTGAGGCAATTCATTCCATTGTCACACTGCTCAAACAGTTAAGACATTTTTCCTGATATTCAGCCTACATCTGGCTTCCTGTAGCTTCTTTCTATGGCTCTTTTGAATCTTAAGGGAAGGAAAAGCTATCTTTCCAACTAGAAGGCACAGTGGCAGAGAGATGCTTCAGTGGCCACTGATTCAATTCTACTGCTAATGAAAGATGTTGACTAATAGTACATACATTGTGTCCAATACACAACATCCCAAGTGCAGCTGTAATATTTGGATAGAGGTCATGTTAGGGACGTGGTGGCGCTGTGGGCTAAACCGCAGAAGCCTGTGCTGCAGAGTCAGAAGACCAGCAGTTGTAAGATCGAATCCACGCAACAGAGTGAGCTCCCGTCACTTTGTCCCAGCTCCTTGTCAACCTAGCAGTTTGAAAGCATGCAAATGCAAGTAGATAAATAGGTACCACCTCAGTGGGAAGGTAAAACGGCGTCCCCTGGCCACGTGACAACGGAAACTGTCTTCAGACAAGCGTTGGCTCTATGGCTTGAAAACGGGATGAGCACCGCCCCCTAGAGTCGGACACGACTGGACTAAAAATGTCAAGGGGAGCCTTTACCTTTACCCTAACCATGTTAGGAAATGCTCAAACACCTCTAATCTAAACTCAGTTCTTCCTATAAATTAAAATAGACCCATGCTGTAAATGGGACTCCTTAAATCAGCATTTATGTAAGTCCCATGATTCACTGGGTCTGCTATAGTTGGAAGTAACAATTTGATCTAACCCAACTGCTGGATTTTAGTGTATTTCCTGAAGATTTCTTTCTAGTCAGAAAAAATAAATATTACTTAATGGCTTGGTGAGCAGAGATGTTTCCACCAATTCCCTAAAAGTTAGGAAGTTAGAAGAAGGTTAGGAAGAAAGCATCTGGTCTTCTGTTGAGAAAGCACCCTCACATCTGCTCCACTAATACAAAGAAGGATCAACTGCATGCCTGAAAATAGGTGAGCTCCCTAGAAGTTGATGCCCATTGTTGTTGTTCTTGTTTAGTCGTTAAGTCGTGTCTGACTCTTCGTGACCCCATGGATCAGGGCATGCCAGGCCCTCCTGTCTTCCACTGCCTCCTGGAGTTTGGTCAAATTCATGTTGGTAGCTTCGATGACACTGTCCAACCATCTCATCCTCTGTTGTCCCCTTCTCCTCTTGCCCTCACACTTCCCCAACATAAAGTTTCCTCCAGAACCCCAATTCAAAAGCATCAATTATTCAGTGGTCAGCCTTCTTTATGGTCCAGCTCTCACTTCCACACATCGCTACTGGAAAAACTATAGCTTTGACTATGCGGACCTTTGTTGGCAAGGTGATGTCTCTGCTTTTTAAGATGCTGTCTAGGTTTGTCATTGCTTTCCTCCCATGAAGCAGACATCTTTTAATTTCATGGCTGCTGTCACCATCTGCACTGATCATGGAGCCCAAGAAAGTGAAATCTGTCACTGCCTCGATATCTTTCCCTTGTAGTGGCCAGGAGGTGATGGGACCAGTGGCCATGATCTTAGGTTTTTTTTATGTTAAGCTTCAGACGGTTTTTTTTTGCACTCTCCTCTTTCACCCTCATTAAGAGGTTCTTTAATTCCTTCTCACTGATGCCCATTCGTAGGATGCAGATCTAAGATGCTTCTGGGTGACGGTCCCATGTGGTGAACCCATGAAGCATCTCTTTCCCATTCATTGTATCAGTTGACACACTTTCTGCTTTGGACATTTGTAAATGAAACAGAGAGTCCTTAATCTAATACAGACTTTTGGGTGTTGAGAAACACACCGGCTGTTGTGTTTGAAGGATGAGAAAGCAGTAGAAAATCTTGCTGCTTTCTGTAAAAAGAGTATGAAGAAATCTGGAAGATATACTCCATCATTTCTGCAAAGGGGTGTTGTATAAAATCTGTTTCTCCTCAGTGAGCATCTGGAGCCCCCAACAGAGTTCTGGCTGATTCCCGCATGACTTTGTTCCAGTAATAACACAGCATAATGGCAGTTTCCCATCAAGTCTTTGGAGCATAACAATAACCTCAGGAAAGAGTAAGTACATTCCACTGCCAAGCAGAAGCTCAACCAAAGAAGAGTTGAGTTTTCATGGCGTTTTGGTTCATGGGGAGAGCGGAATGTTGACCAAGTTCGTCCAAAAGATAGGAAGAAAGAAGGATGGGTGATGGGGATCACGCTGGACTTCATTAAAACAATTTGTTTTTCCTTTGCAGGGGCCTGACAGATCATTTCTTCCCACCACCAACAAAACCCTTGGACAAGAAAATGTGAAATAACGCCTTTGGAAGACAGACTTATTAAGCAACTGGCTTATAATTAGACACAAAAAAGCGTATGGTTTTTCTGTCACCCTCGATTGTAGAAATGTTAAGTAAAAAAGAACATTTCTTCTTTGTTGGTGTCTCATTAAATCGCTGTGTGCAACACCAATTAAAGAACATGGCACAATATATCTACACATCAAATGGTCTCCTGGCAAAGAAAAGGGCAGCCAGAGCTGGATGAGGGAATAGACACGCACTTCCTTTTTCAAAGTACAGCTGCGTTCCTCTCTAAAACCCATGCTCATTGAGTTCCTCTGATTTCCACATTTGATTTACACCCCAAAAGTCTTTCTGATTAAAGTCCATCTTGGGTTTCAAAGTGGAGTTTCCGCCGCACAGAAATGTTGTTGCATCTCTTTCCACATTTTGCAACGAACAGAGTGCTGTCCTCTGAAGATGCCGGCCACAGAGACTGGCGAAACGTTAGGAAGAACAACCTTCAGAACACGGCCAAAGAGTCCGAAAAACCCACAACAACCATCAGAACTCAAGCATGTTGGTGTTCATGTTTTTCCAAACATATGCATTGTTTTTGATGCCCGTTTAAAAGCATTGTTATCTTTTGAATGCATTTTTGACTGTCTGGATCACAATAAAAGTTCATGAATTCGTGGGCTTCTGATCCAAAATTGCATTTAGTTCTGGCATGTGTGCAAACTTAATAAGCACAGACAGATTTCAGATCCCACTTTGTGTCACTCATCCCTACCTGAAGGTGATGGCTGTGTATAAAATCATCCTTGCAAAGATAGTGGGGCTGGGGGGGATCGCTTTGATACCCTTTCCCCTCCTCTTCCTGTGCAGAGATGGATACTCAGACTTTCAGGCGACCTCACACATAAACATCCAACTGCCTCCCCCAGCATCCTTTTCTGATTTCTCCCCCAAAGTGGAGACCCAGAAAAGCAAGACAAATTTCCGTGACTCTTGAGCCATTGCCCTGAGACCAAGGCCTTGGTCACATGAGGGAAATGTTTTCTAGTTATCCTCCAGTTAAGTTAATTCCGGTTTTTCCTGGTCACATGACACAGAAACAAGATCAAGGCATTTTCCTGGCCAGCAGTGTAACTGCGGAACATTTCCCCATTGCCAGGAGGGTTGTGTTATTTTGTTCCTTGGTTGTACTGGTGCATTCCTTACCAGGATTGCGTGTGTGCACAACGTGCCCAGCTTTTTTTCAGAATCGAACCCAGGAAGGTGGTTGCCTTTACCGCAGCACACACATTTTTTAAAAAAATATTTTTCATGCCTGATACATCGATATGTTGCTAAAAGTATGTCACCAAGGGCCACCATTACATTACTGGAGAGCAATATATATTTTTTCCTATAGGAAAACAATTGAAACATTGGTATGCTAATGTAACTGGGGGTTGTGATCACCTGTGGATATCTAAAGTCTGTTGTGTGCGACACTTTCCTAAACAGAAATGTTCCCTTTAATTTTCAATCCCCCATGTGCAAGTCTGCCCCCCCATGTGAGATTTCCTTTGCAACTGGAATGATAGGGGCTAAAAATGATATTGGGGGCAGAGTCATGCCTTAGAGGGAGACTTGTTTCTGATGTATCAATAAATATTTTTTAAGAGAGAGAGAGAGAGAGAGAGCGAGAGAGAGCGAGAGAGAGAGAGAGAGAGAGAGAGAGAAATCAAGGGACTTAATTGCAAAAGAGGAAATAAATTTGTACCGTGGTGTAGCCAGCCATAATGACTCAATTAGGAGGAAATAAATTGAAACTGCTAAAAGTTCTTGGGATGTTCATCCTGGGATATAAACCAGGCAACCACGATTCGGTACGACAGAGGTATGGAAAGTGTCAGAAGAACTAGAAAATATTTGCCTTGTGTGGCCAAGGCCCAAGTTAACTCTGGAGAATTGTGGAGAATGCAAAAAGGTCCCACAGATCCTGCTGTTGCTTCTTCTAATTACAGGAAATTAAGACGGTGATGAGTTTCATCCTGTTGGCAACTCTGAGATTGCTCTTTCAAGGCAGAAGAGCAGTACCAGCCAAAAAAAAAAAATCTATTTCAGAATTTCACTTCAGGCAAAATCCAGTGGTAACAGCACTTTGCATGATACTGAGGGAGTAAGGAAAAACACTGACCTGTGAAGACTGTGATCTCAGAGGGAAAAATGTTTAAAGCGGTGCTTCAGTTCTTTCCACCAGCCAGTACTTGTATGATTCAGATAGGGCTGATTAGGAGTCTTCAAAGCTAAACGATGCAATCAATATTATTTCTAGTATGTATCTACCATACTACCTGTAGCATTCAGAGGCATTTTTCAGTAACTAGAAGAATCTAGGCACGTATCTAGTTGTCTCGTGTGCTCCCAGAGGCATCTGATGGGGCCACTGTGAGATACAGGAAGCTGGACTTGATAGGCCCTTGGCCTGATCCAGCAGGGCTCTTCTTATATTCTTAGGGTATGTTCTATTTCAGTTACTTCAAAGAAAAAGGGAATTAAATGGTTATTTCTTTAAAATGGCAACTGTAATGGTAATTTTATAGGGTCTTGGAACTATACATTATTGTTGAAACTATAACAGATCAAATGGAACTGTAATAGCTTTCTGAGCTCCGAACAAAATGGAGTTTAATTAGAGATGGGCATGAACTGACAGTTCAGTGGTTTATGCCGGCCCGTTTTTCATCCAAACGGGTGTTTCTGTTCTTCTCAGCCATGCCTCCTCCAGTGGGCACCCACTCAGAGGCAGCGCTTGGAGGAAGCAAGGCAGGGAAGCCAGGATACTGCCTCTGAGTGGTCACCTGCCAGAGAAGGTTTGTGCCCATCTCTAAATGTAATACCTTCTTCACCATCCAGCTTAGAAATGGGAGAATATTGTTTTACATTGAAGGCACACTGGATGCAGTTGACCCAAACACTGACCAACCAAAGAGCCATTCTTGGAGATACGTATAGCTCCCTCAAACCCCTTTTTTCCCCCAAGTGCCTTTGTGAGTCGACCTCAGGAGTAAATTTATCTTGGAGAATTTCAAAGTAAAAGATTGGGCACTTATCCTTCATTCCTACAAGGAACCCACTTTGCCCCATCTTTCTGTCCACTGAGACTCAACAAAGAAGACCAGAACTGAAACAAGGGAAGGACCGATAGCACTGACATCAGAAGAGACCAGAGGCAAGTCAGTGAAGAATCAGATGTAATGGGAAAACAAGCTGCCACTTGCTGAAAACATTTCTGATCCATTTTCTGAGATATCTCTGGAATAACAACATAAGCCACAGGAGAAAAGTCAGACTAAGAATTACTGAATTCATCTCTTCTTTCTCTCCCCCATGATGGAGGGATGGGAAAAATGAGCAACACACTTCTTTCATTCTTTCAAGGGATTCCATGGTTCAGAGACATTACAATGCTAGCGGTGGTGCAGGTCTCATTATTTAGATGTCAGGTCTCATTATTTAGATGTCAGTCCTCGTCAGTGCAAAACTCAGTAAAGCTCTCATTCCTTCTCCCTCTTCTGTTTGATGCATTCATTGTCACCTCATTCCATGTACTCAGATATACAGCCTCAAATGGGATAGGGAAAAGGGAGAAAAAAGATGTGTAGAGAAGAGGAAAACAAGAAAATACATACTCCAATTTTCAGCATTTGCAAA